TTACGATTAATCTATATGCAAATAGAAAAGGCATTGGACAAAGGCTAAGGATATGGGGGACAACTTTCACTGGCAGCATCACTATTGACTCTTATAAGCTGGCTTCAGAACAGTAAAAATTTTATGAACAGTAATAATACTCCTACATTTCACACTTACGATTCATCTATATGCAAATAGAAAAGGCATTGGACAAAGGCTAAAGATTTGGAGGGGACAACTTTCGCTTGCAGCATCATTATTGACTCTTATAAGCTGGCTTCTGATGGGCTTTTGATGCCAAACAGCAAGTTGGACAAAAAGCTGGACAATCTCTTAGTTATGGTAATTAATATCAACCTACTAATCCTCCTCATCACAGAAGATCGCTCCAAGGAAAAAAAAAAAAGAGAGAGAAATATTCCCCATTTTGTTAGAGGCTTTGCATGTTTATGGCTTCAGCAAGGAAATCCAAAATCGCAAATAGGATAAAGAACCAAAGAAACATCTCATCATGCTCATGCTCATCCTCATCCCCATCCTCATGTGATAGCGTATGATAAATTCTCCACTGGCAAAATTTAAGTTCAGACATACTTGAACTAATGCAATCCTGAGAAATTGGAACTAAGGATTTATATAGGCCAAACAAAGTTGGGTTCATCAAAATCTTCAACAGCCTAATTGCCCTTCAATCTCACGGCCCGTTTAGTAGGGCGTAATCTAACTTCTCTAGAGTCATGTAAGATTACGATGTACCAATATTCCACAACATGAATGAAATCCATTGGAAGCAGCCTGTTAGACTGAAAATCACTTGCTCCTGTCTTATCCTCACAATCAGCATCCGAAGAAGCCTAACTCTGGTTCCACATAAACTCAGTAGTTGTGACCAAGGACCCGATTACTCGACCTACAGGTCAAAACTATTTCTAAGGCATCAACAAAGAGACTAGGGTCCACATTTCACTAGACTTCAGTTTCAAAATTTAATCAAAAGCCCCAATCTACATCAAACAAGTTATATAAGTCCAAACATTCAGCAATAATAAGATTGACATTACTAAAATTCGAAAGCAATTTTCTTGAATGGCATGGCACAATCTGCATGCTATTCCAAGCCCACAAAAACTTGACTTATCATATGTTAGATACTTTCAATGTGGCGTGACAGAGACAAAAACATTATATATCCTCCCTGAACTAACTTTGTTTCATTAAATACAATCGTCCTAATTTCATTATCACATAGACCCGAAATGCAACAACATCCCAATAACCTAAGAGTTCGCATCAAACACTACCCAGGAAGAGATTCCTAATCCCCAGACAGCAGAAACTTAAAGCCAACAACACGTTGATCAGATGATGATCGTTGAGAATTTGATGTATCACCTCCAATATCACGATTGAGGGCAGCCTGGAAAGCCTCCACATCGGCCCCTGAGTGCATGCTTTCGTCCTGCAGGCACACAAATAACTTAATAAAAAATCCCTCTCCCCCGATTAAACCTGAAATCCAAGGAGAGAGCAAAATTGTCCAAATGAATGTGAAAACAAAAGAAGTACAAGAACGGAAACCTCATCTTCTTCCAGAAGCTTCACTATGGAAGGATCCATAGCGTCCAGTACTCCCACAGCGCAATCGTTTGCCCAATATCAATGACCGTTGAACCAAAACACCTATTTTTTCGCGGAGAAAGCTACTCAATTGAACAAGTAGTTGATCGCATATGGCCGTAACATTCGATTACTGATTCAGCAAATGATCAGCCCTAGTCCTGTACAAGAGACGGCAATTGCCGACAGCTCAACCTTTTACACTCGAGATCGAGTCGTTAAACCTGAAATTCGGCAGAGAACAAGCCGAAAAAGCTATCGCCACAGATCAGTGCGACGACGACGGGTGCCCCCGAGGAAGAAACCCAGCAAAACCCGACCTCGAGCTTCTCAATGGAAACGGTGGAACTCCATTCCTTGGCGCGATCCTCAATCACTGGCAACAGCAGCTCCCAGCTCCAACTACTCTTGATTCAAAGGGCATTAAGAATAGCTTCAAACATTACAATTCAACCCAAATTGCGCTGCGCTGACACTTCAAACAAACGAACAAAAAAACCTTGCTTTAGAGGGAGACAGAGCGCAACTCCAAGAGCTCGGCCACGAAACGAAAATGTCCAAGGTGCAAACAAACAGGGAAAAAGAGAGAGATCAGAAGATGGGTTCATCTAGGCCTTTAAGCAATGCTTGCCCACTGCCCATATTCGTTCAAATCAGATAGAATTCGATTCAACCGAGCCTTGACAAGGCTTCAACCTGAAACACGATCTCGGTCCAGTTTCGCTCCGGTTCGAGCCGGCATATCCATGGAAGCTCCTTCGCCTCATCGACACCCCTCTTCCCCTTTGACATTCACGACCTCTCGATACTCAGAGAGACAAAAATTCACACGCACCCACCATGCCAAGCTTCGAGCTCTGCCTCAAATCCAGATGGGGGTCCCCCCCCCCCCCCCCCCCAAGTTTCAGCGCGCGCGCCCGCGCCCGACGTAGAGAGTGAGAGAGAATCGGTCGGTTAGGGCACGAGAAAGAGAGGTAGAGAGACCAACCGGATTGGTACCTGAGGACTGGCGACGGCGACGGCGGCGGCGGCGGCGGAGGGGCTGCGCCGGCGCGGCGGCGTCTCCGCGGTTTGCCAGTTCGACGACGACGGTGGCAAGGGAACGAGCTGCGAGCGAGCGAACGGGCGAGCGAGTCTTTGTTTTTTGGACAGGCGTTCGTTTGAGCCTCTTTCATTTCATATTTAATAAGATTAAAATTCTAAATAAGGTATAAATTCTTGAAGCAGCGAAATCAATCTTAGCCTAAGCTCTTGTCGATTTGGCCAAATTTTCGCCGACCGAAGACTACTTAATTTTTCCGACAATCGGAATAGGGCATTTTTGTTCAAAGATAAAATTTGGATAAAGATAACCAAAAAAAATAAAAGGAAAACTTAAAAAGCAAAAGAGAAGAAATTCAAACCAGACGAGAGATGTTTGTAACAGTTTGGGTCGAGCTCGATGCCGAGGCGGAGCTCAAGCGCAGATTTGGAAAAACTAAAGTTGCTAATGTTGGATATTTCAATAGCTTTGAAAATCTGAAAATTATTATTTTGTAAATTATGGTGACATGTTTGTAACGGTTTAGAAAGCAATTATTTTGTAACGGCTCTGAAAGGGTTCTGTAACGGTCATCACTTTAATGATTAGCGATTGATTTTGTAGCAGTTTCGTGATGGCTATTTATTTCATTTGCCAATAAAATGAAACTCCAAACCACGATCCTTTAATATACACATCGAAGTAAAATGAAATTCTCTCCTTTCCTTTCATTTCTTTCTTTCGCGAAGTTATACATATAATGTGGTTGTTCTTATTCTTTTTAATATTTTGTGCATAGCAAAGAAAAAAAGTATGTTGTATCTTGGGGAAATAGCCTAACACACCGAGTTTCGTACTACGAACAGCAGAATTATCCTTAAGACAATGCTCGCACGCTTATGACAGTTGATCCTTTTCTTTTCTTTTTCATCTTTTCCAGAAGATTTTACAGCAATCTTAAGGATGATTTAGATTCCCAAAAATCAATTCGCTTCTATTATAACTGAGGTTTAGAATTAATTTTGTGTTTAGATTTTCTTCGCTGCCTTGTTTTTATATTTTACTTCTGCATGTCTTCTCAAGCAAAACTATGGGTGAGCTTTGGTTGTGGTTGACGCCCTGACACAAACAAGAAAGCAATGGAGAGTAAGGGCGAGCATGGTCCGGATGGGCAGTTCTTACCCTAGAACCGAGAACTGTCCACTAAGGATCGGCTCCAAAAAATTGAAATCAAGAACCGCCTATTTGTTCCATAGATCCACCTGAGAACCGGACCGTCGGTCCGGTCCGGTTTCTGGATGGGTCTATGGAACCGCTCCCACTAGTCAAAGACGGAGACGGGGACAGAGATGGAGAGTCGGAGACGGTGAGGTGAGCATCAACCGGGAAGACTGAGAGAGTGAGAGTGAGCGTGAGGCGAAAGCGAAAGAAGGTGTTTTTCGAGTCAATGTGAGGCTGTGAACGTCGAGTGAGTTATTATTATATTATCGGTCCGGTCCGGGTGGGCGGGCAGGCAGTTCCACGCCTGAAACCGGGAACCGGACCGACACCTACCAGTTCCCAAAAATTGGAACCGCAGACCGGAACTGATGGTTCTTAAGGGAACCATCAGTTCCGGTCCGGTTCCAGGCGGTCCGGGCGATTTCCGGTTCTTTTGCACATCCCTAATGGAGAGCAATTACGGTAACCGCGTCAAGATGAGGTCCTCGATAGGGAGGAGGAGTAGGATGATTTGTCATATAGCAATTTCACTAATACAGGTTAGTAAATTCTCTCCCTCCGATGGTGGTAATTGGTAAAGTATTAACAAACGAGGGACAGCTCAGGTAATACGCGAAAGACACTGTAATAGGGAGTGTCGAAGCAAAAAAGGGGATGGAAACAATGCGGCCCTATACTTAAATGTCACCATTGTAATATTTATAAATACCAAAATATAAAAGGTCCGAAAAAGATTGGTTTATCTTATGTCGGTTTTAGAAATGGATTTGAATATAATATATTCTAAAATATGGGCAACAAATGAAAACTTATAAATAGTTACGATTGACTGAATTGATCCAATCATGGGAAGTTAAGAGACTAAACAAATTTGAAAGTTCAGAGATTAGACTGTAAAATTTGCAATAGTTTAGGGACTTTGTGGTGATTTTTATCTAAAAAATATAATATGTAATTCTTTGCATAATCTCCATCAGAGTTTAGAATTGAGTGCAAGAATCATGTGCTATACCCCTCAAGCATTCATCCAACGAATAATGAAAAGTTAGGAGTCTTATGGCATGGTGGGTCACTGGCGACAGCCCAACAAAGAGAAAGAATCACAGATTAAAGTTACAAGTAACTAATCAATTCTCTGCTTTCTTCATTCTCCTGTAGTCCCGCTTATAATCTCTTCAGAATTGAATAAAGTAAGCTTCCTCAAATGGGTTAGGAACAGGGACACAAACCAGTGTCATTTCTGTTACCGGCAAGAACATAATTCGTCAGCTTCTCGGGAGTCGCCCTGAATTAGTAAGGTTTCGGTTTCTTGCCAGACTTCTTTCTACCTCCTTTATTTTTCCAGAAATTTCATGATCTTGTCATTAGTTTCTTTTGTCTCTGTGACATTTCTCTGTTCTGGCAGTGCGCCGATAGTCGGTTCAGCAAAAAAAAAAAAAAAACAAACAAACGTGGGTCAGTGATCACATATTCGATGTTTGGGAAACGCTTTGTATGCAGTTTGGTTTACATAAACACGGTCTGTGAAGTAATGCTTTAGACTGTAATTGGGTGTTTGAATACGAGTCGCTTGTTTAATTGTCATTCTGTGATCTGCCATCTCATTACATGTATCAATGTCGCAGATCAGTTTTAGCAAAACTAGTAACTAACATCGCTTATAGACTTCTGAAACTTCTCCATCTTTTTCCTTCTTTTTTAGTGGGTTTCGCTCCTGCAGGACAGCAACACGTTATTAATCTCATTCACACTAGTGAAAGATTAGACCAGTGTTAGGATCCCAAAAATTTAACTGAACATATTGAATGAATGCAACAAAAAGTTTAGAGACTCATGTTTAGTTCTTTAGAACGAGTCCAAGGTGGTTTATGCATTCTCATCTTTATGAGTTTGGCTTGCATTGTTGTTTCTCAGAGAACAGCAGAAGACATCACATCCCCATGAAATCAGTCAATCTGATAGCAAGCATCATCGGTACACTATGGCCTATGTTGACAGATTTATGGGAAGATTGGGGCATCCAATTGCTGGTCGCAGCGAGCCTTGCTTGCCGGATCACCCTTGCCATCCTTGGCCGCTGCCGGAGGTACATGACCACGATCATCATCAGATACGTCATCCTCGCTGCCTACTTGCTCTCTTCTTACATTGTGACCATTGCCCTTGGCAAGCTCACCGTCGTCCAGATCAACAATCCCGATCGACCGGACTACTTAACTGAGCTCAAGGGGTTGTTGGCACCGTTGCTCTTGATGCAGCTCGGGAACCCTGACTCCATAAATGCGTACTCGGTTGAGGACAACCGGCTCAGTGTCAGGCAGATGCTCAATATGTTGGTCACTGTCAGTTTTGTTGTCTGGATCCTGATTCGCTGCTGGGACAGCTCGTCGCCCGTCCCGTTTTTGTACTTCCCCTTGTTCGCCACCGGGATCATTGAATCCGCAGGGTCTATTTGGGCCCTCAAGTCTGTGTACTGGGAGAGGTCAAGCATATCAGCCAAGGATATCTTCGACCCTCAAACTGTCGCCAAGTTCTTCAACGAGAAAACTGTCAAGCACGCGGTGCCCAGATGGGTGACGACGCAAAATATCATCTTGAAGGCATACTATCGATTCGATTGCTTGAAGCCCCACATTGTAAACTGGCTCTACGACCCCGATTCACTATCTAAGTCTCAGTTAATTGTAGACCGCGATTTAGCCTTCATTACAACTGAGCTCGAACTTGGATTCATGTATGATGCACTTTACACTAAGAAACCGATTCTTTATAAACCACTTGGTCTAATTGGCCGCTTCACTAGCTTTTTCTGTCTAGTGTCAGCCTTGTGTGGATATGCTGTTATTTTCAAGAATGCCTTCTTGATCGACATGTATATCACCTACACTTATGCATTATTGATAGGAGTCACCGCCCTAGAAGGTTACCAAATTGTTCTGCAACCTTTTTCGGCATGGGCGATCGTTGCGATGAGCCAGCACCAAAGCAATCGCCTCGTGTCAACGAGGCTGTTGAAGTTCGTAGTTGAAATGTACATGAAGCGGAAAAGGTGGTCCAACTCAATTGGGCAACTTGACTTGTTGTATCCTTGCCTGTATGATGACTGGCCGCGGCCCATCGGAAGAATCCTCAAACACTGTGGCAAGAAAGAGGTGACCTTGAGAAGGTATTGGCATCACTCTCGCCTGAAAATCCACCTCACTCTCAAGACACTGCTGGTGGAAGGTATCGAAAAGCTCGAAGAGATCAGATGCCAGAAGCCCTTCACGAAACGCGGGGAGTGGACGCTCGAACTTCACAAACTCGGCAACAATCAAGTGTTGGAAAGGTACATCTCAATAACGTTTGACAAAAGCATCATCATTTGGCACATGGCAACGAACATCTGCCTCTTTTCAGTGCCCGATAATTCTCAGTACTGTGAAGGAAGCAAACTGCTGTCCAATTACATGATATACCTTCTAGCACTGCGACCGTACACGTTGTCCCTAACGACTAGTGACATCACATTGGAGCACGCTTGCGCCATATTGAAGCCACTTCTCAGGTACAGAGACCGCGATGAGGCCTTGAGGACTCTGTCATTGACAGAAGAGATCGTGCTTGAACCGTACCTGGATCAGAAGGAGAAGACCATAATCACCACGGACTGGCATGTGCTGAGTGATGCGCAGGAATTGGCGGCGACGCTGAAGGACAAGGAGAACATGTGGCAAATCATAAGCAGCGTCTGGGTGGAGATGTTATGCTATGCTGCGTATAGTTGTCAAGTTTACCATCATGCGAAGCTGTTGCGGCGAGGCGGAGAGCTTATAACTCATGTTTGGCTGCTCTTGATGCACAATACTGACAAGTACTCCCACACTCCCAGGGTCAACCCCAACAAAGAAACCAAAGGAGAGTCCAAGAGTGAATCATGATCCTAGGATTGATCATACCCTGCACGAGATTGTGTTGTGTTTGTGTGCGCGTGTTCTCTCTTTTTCCCTAGGTAAAGAGGTGCTTTCTAAGTAAAATTACTGTAATTTGCATTCAGCCAAGAGATTTGTCAATGTAGCATAGTTATATATATATTGGACGTGAATCCTTGATATTTGAGAAGACTTGTTTTCTTTACAGTCCCTTGTCTAACTTTGCTTGTAAAGTATCTTCTATTCTCTTTGTTAACGAGTTCACTCCATGAACTTGGTAGTAACAAGGAAAGCGAGATGGGCTTGCGCGCATGAGCTTCGGCAGAATCAATTGCAATGTTGGATTTAGCCCCCCTCTCCCTCCGGGCGTGCAAAATATACATGAGGCGTGGAGGTAGGGGCAGAGGATTTACTTCCAATATCAAAGAGACTCGAGGACTGCGAGTTACTCTATTTTTCGAAACCAGTATTGACCAGGATTATGGCTTGGTCGTTAACTTGTCGATGGTGCGACATTCTAGCCACGAGGCATGCGATTTTGGAGGGTGGAACTCTTTCCTGAATTAGTACTCAGGCCATGTTCATAATGTTTGGAAATAGGGTTGCGCTTTTTCTACTTCTCCTTTGGTTTAGACACTCATTTTCTTTGTGTTTTGACCATACCATCCCTGGCAAGGCTCACCATTTCTAGTACAACTCTAGAAGAATGATTTTTTTTTAATTATTCGGTCCTTCTTCTTTTTCCTTGCGGATCCCATTTTCCTTTTTCTTTTTATTTCCATGTCTCTGACGTCTCAATTCTTCGCTTTTGCAAATTGTCTCTATATTTTCTCTCCGACAAGCCATTCTCTTAGGCCTCCCACTCCTTCTCCTTCTTCTTCAGTAAATCTATCCTGCATCTGCAATCCCCCAAAAAATGCTTACTTTAGCAATTTGCACACTCCTCATTTGCTATCGGAGGTATGGTTCTGGCGAAAGCTTGTTTTTGTTTTCGTTTTAGTTTTCTTGTTGTCAAATCATGCTCATCCCGGTCTCTATTGAGTATTTCTTGATATATTTTCTTAAAAGTGAATTTGACTTTTGGGTCGTGGAAATTCTTGATTTTGTTATTCAATTCTGCGTTTAGAGCATAGTGTACATCAAAACAGTGTTTGTGAATCAATTGCACAGTTGCTTTGTGGTCTGTAGCGTACTTACGTCTTATAAACTTTTTCTTCCTCTGGGTTCAGTTTCTTACTATCGTTTCCATAAGTTCTTCATCATCAGTTTTGTGATGCTCTTGTTGCTTCTCATTAATTGACTTATTGGAAATAATGATACATGATATATTTAATCTAGTTGTTTGATCTTAGGAGAATTGACGTAATCTATTTTTTTGACGACAATGGAGGCCAAAGGCGATTTGCAAGAGTGAAGAATTAAGACGTCAAAGCTATGAAAAAAAGAAGAAGAAGGAAAGTGAGACCCGCAAGGAAAAAAAAAGAAACAATATCCAAATAATAAAAAAAAAAAGATCACTTTTGTAGAGTTGTACTATAAATGGTGAGCCCCATAAAAGATAATATGGTCAAACACAAAAAAATGGGAGTGCCTAAACCAAAGGAGGAGTGAAAAAAGTGCAGCCCTTAGAAATATCTTTAAGTAATTTTGACGATAACAGAACTCAATCCAAAGTATTTGATTAGTTTATCTATGTGTTGCAGAAGCTAGAGATTCAGCTGGTTCTACACTCAAGCGAGAGAGATCTGCTAAGTGTGGAAATTTGCAAACGCAAGCTCGGATAACCAAGCGTAGGTTCTGCATTTGATCGGACAGTGCCAACTACTTTCCAAGTACAGAGGTTTTACAATCGTTGGAGTTTTGAAGTTGAATACCCCAGCTCGCGGCAATTGAATAGGATATTTCTAGATTAATCTTGCAATAATTCAGGACAAATAAGCACGAGAGATTAATGAAACTCGCTATTAATAGAAGATTATAATGATAAACTAGATTGAGAGAAGGTTTTGCACTTGTTATCCAAGGAATTTCACCAAGAGCTTTTGTGGACCTCCTAATGGATATAACAACTATACGATATTCACGTACAATGCTCGTATTTGGAATCTTATAAATAGGAGAAAACTCGAACATAAGACATGAAGTTTACGAGGACTTGATTATGTAAATAAATTATCGGGACGACATGTGTCAATATCCCTCCTACCAATACTAGGAAGATACCTTCCATGGATAGCTTCATTTCGAGCTTGCCATATATGATCGAATGAAGCATTCCATATCAATCTAATCTATTCTTTCCTCAAGCAATACCCCCTGAAAAACTCAAAATTCCAATTTGCGTTTGTTGGCCCACATAGAAAGCCGGATAGGATAAGAAATATCTTATTTGGAATGTGGTGACACACTTTAGGCGGGATATATCTGAATATATTCCAATAAAAAGCCGAAAAACCTCTTCTTACCCTAGGGGTGAGATTAAATTACCCCATCCCGATTAAACATGAATAATTTTTGAAAAGATAAAAAAAAGAAAAACAAAGGAGAATAAAAACGATCGTTTTTATTCCCCCACTCAGTGGGTCACCATGGCACCGTTGTGCATAGCTGTTGACCACCATTGGGAGTAAGGGTGATCGGTTCCCGGTCTGGTTTCCAAATTTGGGAACCAGGGACCGGATTGGACCCCCAGTCTAGTCCAATGGAACCGGTCACTCAGGGATTAGTTTTTTTTTTGGTCAAACACTTAGGGTTTAATTCACATTTTACTAATTTTTTTGAAGAAAAAAATAAAAAAATAAAAAATATATAGTCGGTCCGGTCCGTTTAGTCTGGTTTCCCCTTGGAACCGAAAACCAGACCGCCTGGATACCGGTTCCATTTTTAGGAACCGGGAACCGAACCGACACTCCCGATATCCGGACCAAACCGGCCAGTCCGGTCCAGTCTGGGTGGTTCGTTTTGCACACCCCTAGTTGGGAGGGTGTTGAACTTAGGCGACCACCACATGGTGGTCATAACTCTAAGGTGTCGCGACCTTTCTCGAGGTGAACCATACAAAAAAAAAAGCTAATAGATTAATAGGTGGGTACAAATAGTTACTCATTAAAGAGATAATGCTATCGCCTAGTGTGGACTCTTTAAAGCCCATACCAATTGCATCTTGCATTCTCAATTCAATAGTGTAATATAAATTTGCATTTTGGAGCTACCACTAATTAATTATAGGTTGATTAGACACCAAAGTAAAATGCGGGAGTACATTTTACCTCTATAAACTAGAGATTCATGGATTCGGAGAGTTGATTACATCAGATTAATCTAATGTCTTTTTGGTACATTTTCTTTTTATTTCGAAGATGTTTTGCATGCAATCTTTGTTGATTTTAATCTTAAGTCACTAATATGTGAGGGATGATCATGTGAATGCTCAATCAATAATGTAGCACCCAATAATCATAACAGTAAATTACTTGAAAAGATAAAAGAATCTTGATACACAGAGCGAGCAAAAAGCAAAGCTTCACCATCGCCCAATCAAACAGGAATTCTGCAAACTTCGACTAGAAAAGCAAATAATGATATGATATGTGTATGTCCTAGATATGACTTCTAAATGTAATTAGGCAGGGACAGCTAATTGCTAAGATGCAAACCCAATATGGATGTTAACCTAGTGCTATTTATTAAAAGTCTTTGTCAACATGATTTTTGTATAATTAAACTATGTGAAATAACTTAGATTTATATTGCAATGCCAATTAATTTTTTTTGGTTTTCTTGTTTAAAATAAAATTAGCACAAACATGACTTAATTTAAATGTTATGACTATATCTGCATCCTACTTAAAATGCATCAACGAACTAACAAGAAACCCTAAATGACATGTATGCTATGCTATAACAAATTAAATGCGATTTATATGCAATATTAATAATGATAAGGCATGAATGCTATGATATAAGATAGAATTAGCAATGGATTAACCCCATTATTCAAAATATGTGAGAGACTATTCTTTGTGTTTTCTTTTTATAGAAATGAGAAACTAAACATGACCCAATGACTTTTATTTATTAGAAGAATGGTAGTTTAATGATGCAATGCTAATTCATTTTTTGTATTTTTTATGATGACTACATGCATGAGACGCACTAATTAATTTATTGCACCTACATATTTTGGTGACCGAATATCCTTTCCTATTCCATATTTTGCTGATTCTTTGCCTTAAATTACTTAGGCTGTGTTTAGTCGTCCGGATTTTTAACCAACATACGACTAATTGGATAGGATATAAAATCCAGGGATTTTGCAATATCATTATCCACTATTTGGTGAATCGCAGTGATAAAGCTGGATACTTTTATATCATATCTTGTCCATTATTTATGGATGATGTATCAGTGTAAATGAACTTGAAAATGCACAAATGAAGATAGTAAGAATCTCTCAAGATTCGCTATCAAAGAAACCACAAAGGCACAAATAAAGATAACCTCCATCAATCAATCAACAATTATTGTATGATCTAAATCTTATACGGCAAAAGAGCTCATTGCACTATTCTAGAGCCATGGGTTTGACTATGCAAGAAATGTAAACAAGCTCCAGTAATATCGACGAGGTAGATCAGTCAATAAATGCCGAATTTAGTAAAAGCGAGAAAACACAATCATTCGCCTTCGCAATTCTGAAAAATCTAGTGCTTCGACTCTCGTTACTTTTGTGAGGCTTCAACGTGAACCATAGAGCTACAGTTGAGAGGAGTTTCGACTCTCTTTCTGTTTTCATGGACTTTTGACATGAACAAGAGAGCTATGAAGGATAAGGAGCTTCGACTCTCTCGCAATTTTCGTGGAGTTTTGACGTGAATCAAAGAATTACGGAGGAGTCATGAAGTTTCGCGAGGAGTTTTCTTAGAAAACTCATTGCCCCTCATTCTTCAAGAATTAGAAAGATCATTTTCAAGTTTGAATTTGTTCATTTAAATTTTAGGTTGTTTTACTTAATTTTTATTTCATTATTATTTTTTATTTTTTCCTCTTTTTTTAATTTCTTTTCTTTTTTATTCCATTCCATCATTCCTTGATAAGGTTTTTATTAAATAGCAAACTATACTAGTAAACCTAAAATATGTAATCAATATAGGCTCTCTCTCTCTCTCTCTCTCTCTCTCTCTCTCTCTCTCTCTCTCTCTCTCTCTCTCTCTCTCTCTATATATATATATATATATATATATATATATATATGTTGTTGAATAGAAAGAAATTTGAATATATAAATAGAAACGAAAATTGTTGTTAATTTTTTTATTTTGAATTTTCTTTTTTATATTAGAATTCAAATATTATTTATATTTAATTAATTTAAAAAGTTTGTTATTCGAGAAAACTATCTTTTATACAATAGATATAAATCATTTCCACTTTTATCCCACTTCTCCACGTTATATTTTTATTTGGATTATAATCTTCTTATATTTGACCTTATCCTATCTTAGGTGGGAACCAAACATATGATAGGATGAAGACATTTATCTTAGCTACCAATTGTAACCTTACTTTCATATGATTTTTGGTCAAGCAAACGAGACAAATTTGTTGGTCGAAATTCCCAATTAAATTGGCTTGATCTTGACAATTCAAATAAGATTATGGTCAAAAAATGCTAAGTAATTCCCACCCCGACAAGGTGAGTTCTCTCTTCTCCTTCGGAAGAGCTTCCCTCTACCCAATGGGGTAGCTTAGCAAATGGAAACCCTAACTACCAAACTTCACCTTTCCCCTTTCAGACTCAGTCACCATTAATCACCAATAGCTCCCCCGTAAGCGCCTCTCTGAAGTCAAGCAGAAGGAAACCTTTACTACCCCACGTTTTCCTTCCCAATTCAGACTCAGCCACATTGAATCACAATCAGCCCCCCCATAACCTAATGCTTCGTTCACTAACCACCCACTCAAAACCCATTTACTCGCTACAGATCTATAGCTTTGAACGCTTCAGCAAAACCCTCAAATCGCTCTCTGGAGCGGGAACTGTCCTGTGAAAGTAAGGTTTTCTCACGCCATATGGTGCGGGAAACTTCAGAAGCACCAGTGTCAAACGACCTCCATGGAGTCGGAAGAAGATGCAGACCAGAGGCTAGCCATGCTCTGTAAAAAACTAGGAAGATTGTGGTCAGATAAAGTCACAAAGAACATCCAGAGTACTCTAGCATCAGCAAAAGGAAAGGAAGGTAATTTAACGTTGATAGGACAACTCCTCAAGAACCCAAATATCAACTTTCAAGCTCTCCAAAACACTTTGAGGAGAGCATGGCGAGTGGAAAATGTAGACTTTACTCCGTTAGAACAGGGTATTTTCGCTATAACCTTTGATTCTCCAGCTGTGAAGAAAAAGAGTAATGGACCAAGGTCCATGGTCTTTCATGAATAACCTGTTGATTTTGAAACAATGGACACCAAATACCACAGCTTTATGTTATAACTTCGACTCGTGTGACTTCTAGGTGCATATTTTGGGGCTTCCTTTTGAGTGGCTTTCTGTGGAAGTAGTTCGTGATGTAGCTGGTACCATAGGACTAGTGCAAGAAGTAAAGATTGAGACGCGAGGAATGGTGTCTTATGGAAGGGCGCGAGTGAATTTGGACCTCAAATTACCCCTGCAGTCAGGTATGCTTGCTGATGATGAAGGAAAGAAAATTTGGCTGGACTTTAAATATGAGAGGCTCCCATACTTTTGCTTCTCTTGTGGGAAAATAGGACATTATGCACCTAACTGCGAGGAGGTGCCATTCAGTGTAGAGGATGTGAACACGGATGAGGACAGACTTTTCGGCTCATGGCTAAAGGCTAAGGTCAGTAATAGCAGCCCTTTCCGGAAGCTATTCCATGGTAAAGACTTACTTGATAATATGGAAGAGGAAAGCATTCCAGAGACACCAATCCACCCTGGACAATTAGTTATTTACGAGGAGAGTAGCTCCGGCTCCATCCAGCAACTCCGGATGAATAAGGAAGACAGCATAAAGAACATACTTACTGATAAGAGCAATTCAACAAGTCAGAGTAAGCAACTGGGAAAATTCCATGTTAATTTGGCTGGAGATTAGGCACTCCCCAAGGGACCGGTTTTAACTATGGTACCACTTAGTACTAACAAAAAGAAACAAAGTGGGCAGAAACTCCAGTGCGTAAGAAGATTAGAAGGTTTAGCCCATATGACACTCAAGGAGATAAATCGTTACTAATAGATGAAGACAAATTGCTTGAAACGCCAATCCGGCCAGTGGAAGACATAGGAAAATGGGTTGTGGTGGCTAGCCCTAATAAGCCACCGGGGTTAAAACGAAGATTATAAGTTGGAACTGTCAGGGGTTGGGCACACCCTTGACAGTCCAAGCTTTGGGAGCCATTGTGGCTTAAGAAAGGCCCGACGTACTATTTCTAATGGAAACAAAAAACCGAGAGGAAAAGATCAACTGGGTGAGGAGGAAGTTGAAGTTTGATGAGTGTTTTGTGGTCAACCCAACTGGAATAAGGGGTGGCCTAGCAATTTTGTGGAATGTTCCAGCTGCTTTATCAATCTTACATGCTTCGGATGCAGTAATAGATACTGAATGCGAAGAGGAGAATTGTAAAACAAGAATGAGAGTCACATTTGTTCATGCTCCATCAATACACCAGGATAAAATCAAGGTGTGGGATGAGATATATAGAATCAGCCAGAGTAACAGGCAGCCTTGGGTGTGCTTGGGGGACTTCAATGAAGTTCTGTATCATTGGGAAAAGCTAGGTAAAAGATTGGCTGAACATTATAGACTACACGCTTTTAGAGAGTTCCTGCACAGCTGCGAACTAATGGACCTTGAAAGCAAGGGCTGCACATTCACCTGGTCCAACAATCGTGAAGGAGAAGAGCTGGTGAAAGAAAGACTGGATAGAACAGTAAGCAATCTAAGATGGAGACTACAATTCCCTCAGGCAGAAGTATACGCTTTACCGGCTATTGGGTCTGACCATAGTTCGATTTTATTGTCTATTAGTCAAGCACAAAAGAGGAGAAAGAAGAACTTCACCTTTGAAGCATTTTGGCTAGAAGATGAGGAATGCAGAGGAGTGATTAATAAGGCATGGAATTCTTTGATGTCAGCAACTGAGGGCCTCCCGAGCAGGATGACCAATACTGCTGCTACATTACAAAGCTGGAGCAAGAAGTTCTCAAATGGGCAGTCAAGAATAAAGCTTTTAATGGAACAAATCCAGTACATAACAAATAGGCAAACTGCTGAAGAGGAAAAAGAACAACTACAAAAGTTAAGGAATGATGTTCAACGGCTATGGAGTCAGGAGGAAATGTACTGGGCAATGCGTTCGAGGATAAACTGGCTCAAGTGGGGGGGATCAAAATACAAAGTTTTTTCACGCTTCCACTATTCAGCGGAGACAACGAAACAAAATTTCTATGTTGAAAGATGCAGAAGGGAATTGGACCCGAGATCAAGAACAACTAAAGAGGATGAGTGCTAATTTCTTTAGAGATCTATATACCTCAGTTGGACATCGACAATTTGACCCAATTCTTCAGCATTGCTCTTGTAGTGTGAAGGAGGAAACTAACCTTAGGCTGCTTCAAGAAGTAACGATGGATGAGGTTAAACAAGCAACTTTCCAGCTTGGAATCTCTAAGGCCCCGGGTCCAGATGGATTGAATGGCCAGTTCTTTCAACACTACTGGGAAGATATAAAATAGGAAGTATTTTAAGAGGTCAGAAACTTCTTCCAAACTAGACTGTTGAATCCCCAATTAAATAGAACGCTTATATCCTTGGTGCCAAAAGTTAAAAACCCAGAGAAGCTGGAAGAGTTTAGGCCTAAAGCTTGTGCAATTTTGCTTATAAGATCATCTCAAAAGTGCTAGCAAATAGGTTGAAATCATGGCTCCCGGAGTTAATTGAAGTTGAACAGAGTGCCTTTGTAGAAGGACGGCAAATCCAAGACAATATCCTTGTAGTCCAGGAAGTTTTGCACCAGCTAAGGGTTCGAAGGAGAAAACAAAAATTTCAGGCGGTCTTAAAGCTAGACATGCAAAAGGCATACGATCGGATCGAATGGGACTTTCTGAAGGCCGGTATGCTAAAAATGGGGTTCAATGAAAGATGGGTAAACCTGATAATGCAATGTGTTACAACAACCTCACTGAGTATCAAGGTGAATGGGGAACCATTGAATTACTTCCAGCCTACTAGAGGAATAAGGCAGGGGGACCCTTTATCCCCATACCTATTCATACCGGTTGCAAACTTCGTATCAATGTTGATGAAAAAGGCTGTGCAAGATGGCACTATAAAGGGGATCAAATTGAACAGACATTATCCTGTACTATCTCATCTACTATTCGCAGATGATTCAATTTTCTTTCTAGATGGGACGTTACAAGAATGCTAGAACCTTGCTAGCATAATTCACCAGTATTGCTACGCTTCAGGACAAGCAGTGAACTTGAACAAGTCAGGTATATTCTTCAGCAAAGACAGCCCTAGTGCATTAAGAAGGAACATGGCTAGAGAACTAAGAGTCCCGGAGATTGATAAGACAGGAAAGTACCTGGGTATTCCCTCTTATTGGGGAACATCCAAAAAGCAAATGTTTGCTTGGATTCTGGCAAGGGTAAATATGAAGCTTGAAGGGTGGAAAGAGAACATGATGTCTAAAGCAGGGAAAGAAATTATGTTAAAAACTGTTGTCCAAGCATTACCTCAATATGCCATGTCAATTTTCAAGATCCCACTTTCAGTTTGCCGGGCTATTAAGCAAAAAATAACAGCTTTCTGGTGGAAGAACCAAACAGCAACAAAAGGAGTACACTGGAGGAAGGCCGCAATGCTAAAACAGGGAAAAGACAGGGGAGGCCTAGGGTTTAGGGACTTAATAGCATTCAACAAAGCCATGCTTAGAAAACAGGCTTGGCTATTAGCTAAAAACCAGACATCTCTGTCCAGTCAGGTCCTAAAAGGCTTATATTACCCAACTAAGTGCTTTTGGAAGGCAGAGAAGGGATCCAGACCATCTTGAGGATGGCAGAGCATACTTATGGGGAGAACGGCAATTGAAGACTCGGTCATGTGGTCAGTTGGTAATGGTCAAAAAATTAACATCAGGGAAGATAAGTGGCTCAACTAGGGAACTATAAGGGGACCGGCAAATGAAGGAGACCCAACTATGGTTTATGAACTTGTGAATCAAGAGGCAAGCACTTGGAAGGAACGGGTCCTACGAAGAATATTCGAAGAACAGGTGGTGTGTGAGATCCTCACTATACATATTAGACCACAGATAAATGAAGATAAATTGATATGGACAGGTACGAGGGAAGGAGAGTACACGGTAAAGAGCGGATACAACACTCTCCGTAAAAACGAAACAACAGAAGCTCAAAGTGCCTCGTCCTCTCATCAATCCCCAACTCAGCTATGGAACAGAATCTGGAAAATGAAAACCCCCCACAAAATCAGACACTTCATCTGGTCTGTATGTCAAAACGCACTCCCGACGAAGGAAGTTTGTACAAAAGGAAAATGATACCTGACCCACTATGCCCAATATGCCGAGCGCATGTGGAGACCCCGAAACATTTACTTCTTCTCTGTAAATGGATGAGGGAAGTCTGAGATGTCCCTGTACTAAACATCCAGATTTCTAAATTCCAAATTTCAAGAATAGATGAATGGTTGATGCTCTATAATCATAGAAGCAATAGCTCACCTGGTGTAGAGATAATCTCGGTAGTCTTCTGGGAAATCTGGAAAGCAAGAAACAATTTTGTCTTTAGAAGGCACCTCCCAGATCCAAAGCTGCTGGTTGAAAGAGGACATCAATTGCTCAGAAATTTCAGCAGGTGGAACAACCTTGACAACGAAAGCGCAGCCGAGAACAGTGAAGGAGAAGACGCCTGGACTCCTCCAGAAAGGGGCGAAACGAAAATCAATATAGATGCAGGTCACCAACCTGGATCACTCGAAGGATCAATCGCCTGTATGTGCCGCGACTCAGCTGGAACCCTGATTGACGGATTTGCAAAGGACGTTCCTGCCTCCTCAGCCGAGCAAGCCGAATGCCTAGCAATGGTAGAAACCCTCAAATTTCTCTCCTCACGTGCTGATGAAAGACTGACTGTCCAGTCAGATTGTCTAAACCTGGTCAACACCTTGAAGTCTTCACAAGCACTGCCGTGGGAACAGCAGGTACTCATTACTGAAGCACGTGGGTTGCTGTCTCTCTTTACAAATTTAAAACTGCAATACTGTAATAGAAATACAAACAGTGTCGCGGACTGGGTAGCGAAGACCCACATGAACAAAACACTCGCTGATCACTGGTTGATTTGTCCTCCGCAGGCCCTTAGAGACTTGCTCTGTTTTGAGACTCCGAAAAGGGGTTATGGTTTTACTAGATATCAATGAAAAGTATTTGATTCTGGCCAAAAAAAAAAAATAAGATTATGGTCTCGCTCCTCAAACCCACGCAGCACTTTGGCCTAATTCCACGACAATTTATGACTGAACCAACTTAAATGCACTTTATTTAGACCTGTTATTACTAAATGAAAAATGCTCCCAGTGCTTATAACACAAATGTGAACCAATGCCAATGATATTTTTATTTAGGGGTCGGGGTAGATCTCTAATTTTCTATGTGGCAAATGACTAAGTGAAATAGTGAAAATTTAGGTGCAACATCAAGCAACTGACGGTTTTCCTCTTTCGATCACATGGGTTGGCCAGATCTAGCCGTCGTGGACCACCGCTGTTATCACCTTGCTTTGGAGACCACTTGATAGTGGTTGTCTTGCGGTGATTGTGACCACCACATGTCACCATCACTTGCGAGTCAAACCTGTTCTGTATGTTGACTTGTCAAAATTGATCATAAATCCATTTCTTAACCGATATTTGATGGGTAAAGTTGTTATGTATGTCAGTTATATTTAGTAAATGGGTCATAATTAGGTTTAGAATGATTATACCAAAATAATATGGGTGTTAGATGGGTTCACAACTTACTTTAACCCAACCCACCTCTATGACTTTCTCCCACCCTCACTCAATCTCGAACTCGCTTACTCCGAGCTCTCACCTCAGTTTGGGTATAAATTTTCCTAAATTGAGTTAAATATTAAAGTTTTTAGCAATATGGGTTGGGTCGAATACATGTTGGGTCACTAGATTTATATTGCTTGGAAATGGGTTAAAATGGGTTAAATAGGTCAATTTGGGTCTAACCATTTTTGACTTGACCCAAATCCAACCCGACCCACTCATTTGATGAGTCTATTCGTATCTCAAAAGAGGTGACCACCCTACATTGTTGGTTGCCATGGTGTTGCTTAAGTGCTGTCTTGCTTAATTTCCATAGCCCAAACACTATTGTTCTTCAAGACTCAACCATTTGACTAGACTACCGAAATGAAGCCTGATTTCAATATGAGTAGATTGACCTTCATAAACACTTGGATTAATGTTGTTAGTTATAAAATATGATCATTATGCTTAGAAGGAAAAAAAATTCAAATAACAAGCATCGCAAGCTCAGACAACAATTGTTGAGGCTAACAATGCAACCTAAGGTAAATAAGTTGATTCACAAAACTTCACAATCTGTCGCGGAATAACTCAAGTTAAGTTTGATAGATGCAAAAACAATTTGCAAGATGCTTCTATTTAGATACATATAAAATAGGTAAAGAGAAAAAAAAAAAAGCTGCACACATAGTTTATAGTGATTCGTTTCAAGTCAAGCCTACGTTCACTGTTTTAGACTAACATTTACCAAGGCTGGAGTACACTAGTAACCTCGTGAGTAGTTACAATGAACCACGTGTTGCTTCCACCTGAAGGTGATAGATCCCACTATCAATAACCAAGCACTGTTAATACACGTACACTCCGCAACTAGTAGATTAGAATGAGTAACAACAACTCTCAAAAGAGTAGAACACAAGTGAATGTAATCATGCTCACAGTACACAGAGAGAATATGACTATATCAGTGTTTGTAGCATTCTCAATTTTCCGTTACTCCTTCAATGTGTGCTGGTCCTCTTTTGTTGTCTTTAATCTCCAAATTAATCATTGGATAATCTTCAAGAGGATTGAATTATTTTTGGAAATGATGGACACAATCACTGGAAATCTGGTCGCCCATAATCAAATCATCCTAATGATGCTAAGGTTTCCCACATAGAGACAGCTATTCTTGGTAATAGTCCATTACTCTGATTGAGTGAGTAAAATAAGTAACAATCTATTTAATTTGGCTTTAATTCTTTATTCAGAAATTCCAAGTCTTGATGCTAGCTGTTATTCCTTTTGACTTCCGAAATAAGTTAAAGAAAAATCAAAGTCTCCTTATCCCGATCATGTAATTACATGATGAATGTATTCATCATAGTTAATATAGAAAGCTACTTGTATTAGCAGTCCATCGAGTCTATCCAAGCAATCTGCTGGTAATTGACTTAGGAACTACTATCTGGTCTTCTTGAGTATATTAGTCTGTTCAAATTATCATGAAACTTCTAAGTTCTCAGGACAATACCGTTCTTTCCAACTTCTTTATCGTCTATCAAGGTCAATCTAGCTTCTATAGGTCTTTTCACTGCATACTCCAAATGCCGATGGTGACAAAGCGTTCCTTATATAATATGACTTGAAATAAAGATAAAATTTGCATTTAGCAAATAAAAGTGAAGAATAGATGATTCCAACAGAATCTGGGCGCCTTAATCCTAAGCACAAGGCTCGAGGTCTTGAGTCTTGCAGCCAAGGTCCCGAGATCACACACCGAACCAAGGTTTATTTGTCTTAAATGCGTTCTAAAGTTTTCCGACACCGAACCTCCGATAATGATTTCCAGCTCATTTGACAAATCCTATTAAACGCAAGAAATACAAACATTTTTCTTGAAGTTTTCCTCATCAAGACCCGAGGTTGGTGCTAGAGTTATCATTTTGTCCAATCCAAGAGCCAAAAGTCCAGGAAAGAACGAGAATCACGTGTGACCTTAAAGATGGACGTCGAATCTTCAGACACAGTAACGTACCCGTTAGGCCAAACAAAAGAGAAAAGAGCCTCAGACCCAAGTTGCAAGCAAATAATCAAATTCCCATTTCTTTTTGCCCTTTTTATCCCCATGCCTTTCCTTTTCTTACTTAACAAATGGACGTTCCACAAACAGTGAATTGCTGTTGAGTGCTAAGAAACAAGTGTTCTGCTAGCTAAGAGACAACGTCACCTATTCCAGGTACTTGTTCCTTCCCATTGCTTCTTAGGACAAATATCTCTGTTGCTTTTCTCTGCTTTAGTTTCTTCGAATTTTCTGATGTCGGGTGTGCGTCTTCTAACTAATCCTCCTGGGAATCGTCAGCCCTCAGAGTTCAGGTGTGGTGGCGCTAGTCTTGCACTGCATTGGACCTCCTTCTTTCCTGTCACTTTAGTTAGCTTGCATTTGCTTGTTGTGCTTACTAACCCATAACATTCTAAAAATGTCCGTCAGCTCTCCGCGCTTTGGATGTTTCGGCAATTAATTATTGTACTTTAATTTGTTGGTCAGTACACTCAACCATATTCTATGCAAGTTATAGCCCATGTTTAGTTTTGTTTTCGATGTTCATTTTCCGATTGATGAAAGAACTTTCAGGAGAAATTATGACCCTTCTCTGTTCCTCCACAACCTGTCAATTTCGACATTTACAGATTGCTAGGTCTGGAAAGGTATAGCAGATATGCTATTGAATGCAATCTGTCCTTTGTGAATGGGATTTTAGAAATATGGTAGGTTTACAGGAATTATTTTCGGAGGGGAAAATTATCCAAAGAGTCTTAAATCTATTGTACTTTTGCCAATTCAGTCATAAATCTTTTAATTTTGCCAATTTAGTCCTAAACCTTTTCACTTCTTGCCAATTCAGCCCATTCGGCCAATTTTGATCAGCCGGCGTTGACGTGAAAATTTTTTAATTTTTTTTTTTCGAATATTTAATATATTTTTCCTTTTTTTCTTCTTTTTTTCTACCCTTCTTCTCTCTGACCAGTTCGGTGATCGGCCAAAGGCACTGGCCGGCGAGGTCGACCTCTGGCGAAGCTCACCCCCACCAGCCACTAGTGAGGCGAGCCTTGCCCGCCGCTGCCTGGGCGAGATCGAGGCCGACCTTGCCCAGCGACGACGAGGTTGGTCTCGCCATGGTTGGGCGAGGCCGACCTACGATGGCGCTAGCTAGCCTCGCCTTGGCTGGGCGAGGCCGACTCGCCGTCGCTAGGCAAGGTGAAAGCCAACAACGGTGAGGTCATCCTCGATCTCAACGTTGGTCGGATGGCAGTAGCCACGTCAGCCCCAGCCAGCCAAAATTGATCGAATGAACTGAATTAGCAATAAGTGAAAATGTTTAGGATTGAATTAGTAAAATTGAAGGTTTATGATTAAATTGGCAAAAGTCCAATAGGTTTAGGATTTTTTGGACAATTTTCCCAAACCGCTTCTACTTAAATTTTTGAAAATTCAACCGGAGAGCAATTGTCCTAAAGTCATCTAATCCATCACTATATGAGCATTTTGGTGAACACAGTAGAAGGCCATTGAGAAGTTGACATGTGGCCCTCTGATTGTGTGACTCATCTTTTCTATCACCGTTCCCAAAGCTTACAAGTAATAGAACTCCCAAAATTATAAACGAAGAAGGCCTTAGTCCATGAGGTCAGAGACCCAAAGTTAGGATAGGTTTCTTTTAAGACAAAATACTGGGACTGTATAGGAGAACCCATTAAATCTGCGGACCTTGCAGAACCTGCACGGTAGGTTCAATTAATTTCGGAACAGTGAGTATAATGTACCCTTTCTAAGATACTCCCTTTTTACTTTCTTTAGTAAATAAATGAGTACTTAATTATTCACAACTTTCTCATTTTCCTCATGAAATTTTTCACATTTCAATGTGCGAAAACTCTAACTGATCAGTAGTTTACAACCTCATTTGAAAAACATCTCTCTCTCTCTCTCTCTCTCTCTCTCTCTCTCTCTCTCTCTCTCTCTCTCTCTCTCTCTCTCTCTCGTGTGAGTGTGTGTGACGAGCTTGGCAATGTCTACGGATGACAAAATTCTTGTTCTCATTCTCAATAGACTATGATAGGTTTTCATGTCAACTCATGTATTTAAATGATAGGTAGAAGCTGATTTTATCTATTTTATTTTTACTTTTGATGTTTGTAATGTTTTAGGATTATGTTACTATTAGACATGTGCATGTATCTTAACATGTAATCTCTTCTTCTTCTTTTTTTTTATGTTGAATGTTCAATGTCTTAATAACTAGTATCGCAACAATTTTTGGTCAAAGAGAAAAATAGGAGAACAAGATAGTATAGGGTACCTTAGAATCTGTGGAACCAACAAGTTCCAAGTTGCACGGTGATTCCAAGATCATGCAGTGTA